TTGTGGTAAGAGTTGTACGAGCCTCCCAGTAAAATGATTTTTAAAAAAAGAAATATTCATGGATTTTACACTTATGTTTCCAAAATATTTTCCTGTATTGAAGGTACCCTTTTGATTTGTCTATCCTAAAGAATGCTGGGATTATATTTCAACCTATGTAAGAGTAAGTCATGAAAAAATATTATACCTTCTTTTGAATTATGGCATAGACCATGCAGTAAGTCAGCGGAGCCTAGTCTAATTCATTTGTCAGTCAGCTGCCTGTGCCATCCCTCCGTGAGCACATTTTATATCACAGGCTCTGAAGATGCCTGAAATACAGAAACGTACTTGCCTTGTGCAACCAACGGTTTTCTCATTTGGTTACAGAATGACTTTTGTCAGCTTCTAAATACCTCAAGCACTGAATACACCAAAAATGTAAGAAAAACGAATAACTGAATTCCATAGTAATAGTTTCAGAAATGGTATGTAGAAGAAAGTTAAGGAGTAAAATAATTCTAAAATTCCATCTTTATGTATTTTATAAACATAAACAGTGAGAACACAGAGAAAGCAATACTTCCGTGTGTACAGCAGTGGATGCGTAGGCCAGAGTACCAGCAACAGCCAGTCCAACACTAACCCACTAACTACATCAAGTGATTCCCACTCTCCACCTAAACCAGCCGTTTAGTTACTTTTGCTCTTTAATGATGAGAGATCAGGGTGCCAGTTATATTACATATGATTGTGTGTGATGTATACATCCCGGGTCACGGACAGGATATTCCCAAACAGATAAAATATGAGAACTGATTAGTAACAGATTTTGTGAATTATTATATGATTCCAGGAATTTATTGAAGGTCCGCCCCCCCCCACCCCCATTTATTTGGGAAGCTTACATGATTACTTCACTTTTGCTCTCTGCAGGATGGCTCAAGGTTTTCTAAACTGGAACCATGCTTAAATTCCTTTTCTCTCCTTGTCCTTCGTAATCTACCTATACTTCTCATTTTGAACAGGGAAGGCAGGGAAATATGGCTAGGAGACACTGGCATATTATTTTGGCAAAAATCATTCAGTATATGGCACATAACTTTTTTTTAACTAATTCTGTCTGTTAAAATACATTAGAAATAGTGCTTTGATACTCTAGACACAAAGATCAGTATTGGGAATAAGTGTTTGTTTGGGATAGCACCTCCTTCTTTCCGTATATTTCATGGGAGAGGCAAGTGCACAGACAGGAATAATGTTAAAAGAGTAAGAAGCAAATGATTTTAAAGCATATACAGAACTTCCCATTTTAGGCGTTTGCGCCTGTGGTCTCTCAGGAGCTCTACATTTTGAAAACGTAGACAAACCAAATCCCTGGTTGGGAAAGATTTTTTCCTTTCTTCCTTCCCTTGCTGATGTCATTGCTGTTGCTATGGTGATGCAGTGAATGTTGCGAGATAGTACTGGAAAAGTCAACACTGACGTTTCTCTGTGCAACAAACAGTCCACTTCATAGCTTGTTTTAGACTAGTGTAGGCCTGGTAAAAATTGTCAGAGCTAATACGAAAAAGGAAATGTTCCTTTTCCCGAGTTACTTTTGTATATAAAATTTTATGAAGGTGTACCTACCTAAACAACTCCTAATAATAGT